GTGTGTGTGTGTGTGTGTGTGTGTGTGTGTGTGTGTGTGTGTCTCTTTGTGAAATGCTTCTAGTGATAATGTTTTTTATACTGATATTGATATAACAATGTTATTATATAATGATGCTGTAATATATATGCAACCCTCTTTGTTCGTCTCAGGCCCAGTAGGTTGACTTCACAACAGACACAGTCAGGTTCACTGTATTTATTCTAGCAAGAGAAAATCAAGTTGGTGGTTAGCATCAGTCCAGCAGCTTCTGTTCCAGTCACAGACGGCAACAGCAAGACAAGTCAGTTACTGGTTGCTATGGTAACCACCACCTGTCAAGAGCAGCACAACATACCAATAAATGCTAGGAGAAATAACTTTATGACTAAACAAAATGAATTTGAAGAATAAATAAACCAAATTCGACAAACTTCACATCTATAATAATGTAAAAATAAAACGCTGTTACATATATTATTATGTCATTATCTGGTAATAATGTCTTAAGATATAATTTAAAACTTGCACTGTTGTTCAACACCAGATTTACCTTTAGTTAAGTTAAGTTTGAAAAATTTTCTAACAAATCATATGTCAGTCAGAAGAGGCTTCAACCCCACCCCTCTTCCATTTTAAAACAAACTAAAATTGTTCCTTTGAAAATGGTCAAATGCAAAAACTGGACTGGGTGGACTAAAATAAAAATCTAAAAATCTCTCTGATTCCTTGCTCTTATCTAACTGTGTCCTATAAGGAAGCATATTAGGTCCTTTTCTTTCCAATATCTACATTCCCTTTGCAGTAGGTGATTATTATGTACCGGTACATATCTATACTGTATATATGGTGATGATACATCCATTCATCCAATACTTTGTCTTCATTGCATGCTAGCTTCATCAGGATTCAACAGGCTTTCACTAGTCTACATTTAGTCTTAAACACAGATAAAACTAAGTGTATTTTAATAGAAATTTCCCATAAGTCGAGTGACCCTTTAAATTTTTTTTTTTTTTTAATAGTTCTGAGATTGATTATTATTGATTGTCAAAAGGTACAAGTGTCTCAGTATCTGGCTCAACAGCAAGCTCACAAATGAAACCCATATAAACCGTCAGCTCTCAAAGGTGAAATCCTGCATTGGCTTTCTTTCTTTATCGCAATAAATCTTCTAACAAACACGCTTCTAAACAACTTCTACTTAAAATGGCACTGGTTCCAATCTTGGATTATGGTGATGTGGTTTACAGGTCTACCTCAAAACTCCTTCACAAACTGGATGTTATCTATCAGGCTGCTGTCTGATTTTTAACTGGAGCTTCATTTAATACACACCACTGCAGTCTGCACTCACTGATGAACTGGCTGGCTTTTCATTCTCACAGACAAATGCACTGGTTTCTGTTTATTTACAAAACTCTCAATGGGAAAACCCCTTCAGTCATTTCTTACTATTCACATTGCAAAGCACAGTTTGCGTTCTAGTAACTTCATTAATCTTCTCCTGCTTAAAGTATATATCTCCTTTGGTCGCTCCTCATTCCAGTTCTCTGCTGCTGATGACTGGGACCATCAGCAACAGACCTTAAAGCTTGGCTCATTCATTTTGCTCTCCTCTTTTAAACATATAATGCAATCACTAGTACAAGATTACTGTACTTGCCTTTAGTTTTACAAAGCTTGTCGCTGTTGTTCCCAATGCTCTTTAAAAAAAGTATAGTATGTTTTTTAAATTGTTGATTTATGCTGTTTGCTTTGTGTGGTTATGCTTTTATCATTACTGTTTTAGAAGCCAATGTCTATTTAAACCTGGAAAATTTCTCCTTAAGATTACTGTATTTCAAAATACAGTACAGAAAATACAAAACCGAGTTCTTTTACAATTTAGATTTTTGCTATCCTATTGTTGGATGTAACTGGGACTGTGTGTACACAATTTAATTCCACCTCATGTACCACATGTGATACGAATGACAATAAAGAACCTTGACCTTGAAAATCTTAACAGAAAGTTTGTCTGATTTAAAAGAAAAATATAACAACGGAACGCTGGCAAAAATCTTTCACACAGTACTTATTCTGATGCAACAAATCTCCCAAGACATGAGAATACTTCATTTGTTGTGAGACAGTTTGAGGTTCAACAGTAATTGAACGTTTATTGTCCATTTTGAGCTAAAGCTGCAGTGTGAGCCCTGTAATGAGCCATTATTCTTTTTTTTTCTCTGTATGTTTATCAGCTGATGGAAACTACCTAATATCTTGTGGCAGTGACAAATCCCTAAAGTTGTGGAGTGTGACACGAGGGACCTTCCTGAAGACGTACAGTGGACATGGCTACGAGGTTCTGGATGCTGATGGGTGAGATAATCATCACAAAGAGTCAGCCTCCCCACCATCACAGACATCTACACCTCCAGATGCAGGAAGAGGGCCACCTGCATCATGAAGGACCCCACTCACCCAGCACACACACGTTTTGCCCCGCTCCCCTCAGGAAGGAGGTTGAGAGGCATTAAGTGTAGAACCACTAGACTGAGGAATAGCTTCTACCTTGAAGCTGTTAGGCTCATGAATCCCTAACCAGAAAAATCACTGTAATGACACTTGAATTGGTGATTTGTCACTTTATCCATGCTGCGGATCTCTTGCCTTTAAGCTGCTGTATTCATACCTATCTGCTCACAACAGACTCATGTTCAGGCTGCTGTTTTATATACCATATTATTTTACATTATTATTGTTTAGCGTGTATCTTAAATCCTTGTTACTGTTTCTTTATATGTTTGCGGTGTAACTCCACCTCATGCACCGCATGTGATACGAATGAACCTTGAACCTTGAACTACTTTCACAATTTCTCAAAAATAAATTGTTTAGGGTTAAATGTTGTGGACAGAAATGACTTATTACAAACTCCACAGGGGATATGGGATGAGATTTGTTGGTGACTCAATTGATAATAAAAATCGTTGGCCAAGCTTCCACTTAAAGTTACTACCAACAAATTTCTTTTGAACTGTGTGCTTTAAATGTTATTTGTTTATCTTTGAACATAATTGCATAAATTAAAGCTCTTTTGGACACTCAACACACACGTCTTTCCTCCTTGCATGGACTAATAGATGTTTTTTTTTCTCGTTGTCTGCTTCCACAGCTCTTATGACAACAGCCAGCTTTGCTCCTGCAGCTCTGACAAGACGGTGATTCTGTGGGATGTAGCGACAGGCCAGGTCACACGCAAGCTCCGAGGACACGCTGGGGTTGGTTCCGCTGCTGTTTGTTTGTTTCTTATTATTTAAAAGGCATTTGATGGAACGTGTTTGTTCAGAATGTATAGATTTACTGTTCTTGTGTACCTCTCTGTGTGTTATTTTTTTGGTGGGGCTCAACGTGTTTTTTAGAAAGTAAACTGTGTGCAGTTCAACGAGGAGGCAACAGTGATTTTATCTGGTGAGTTGATGAATGGAAAATGTTTGCTATAAACTTTTGTACTGCTTGTGGATCACTTTTTTTAGTTTCAGTTGTATATTTTACATATTTTACCTTAATCCAGAGTTTATTGTGTTTTATGGTATATTTCCCATGATGTTTATTGTTATTATTAAGTTATTATATTTTTAACCTTCCAGGTAGGCCTGTCGCAAAAAACAATAAATCAATTAATCGCATGATAAATTAAAATTATCGACCTCATTTTCCGGTCCAGGGGCCTTTCTGGGTGGAGTTTGCATGTTCTCTCCGTGCATGCGTGGGTTTTCTCCGGGTACTCCGGTTTCCTCCCACAGTCCAAAAACATGCATGTTAGGCTGATTGGTAACTCTAAAATTGTCCCTAGGTGTGCGTGAGAGAGTGAATGGTTGTTTGTCTCGTTTGTCTCTATGTGGCCCTGTGATGGACTTGCGACCCGTCCAGGGTGTACCCTGCCCCTCGCACAGTGATTGCTGGACATGGGCACCAGCGACCCCCGTGACCCAAAATGGAATAAACGGGTAAAGAAAATGGATGGATGGATGGATGGATGGATGGATGGATGGATGGATGGATGGATGGATGGACCTCATTTTCATTTATCAACTTTATTGTTTCTTCGTGTCTCTCACTTTCTACTGAAGACACTAGATGACAAAAAGCTCAACTCCGGTGCTCTTCCCTGACCCCCCCCCCCCCTTCTTTTTAAATTCCGTTTTAACTGTCCAAAATCGCGTTTTTGGATTGTTAAAAGCAGCTAAGCTGAGAAGCTAAGCTACAAGCTAAGCTAACAGGCCAACCTTGGGAAAAAAAATCACTGTCTTGTCGATGCTCCAAGATTCACGGTTGAAACCCGTGCCTCGTGTAAAAATTTGTTTTTCTTTGCAAAAAAAAGCTGAGAACTTGTTTACTGACTTTTTATTAAAAGCTTTGTGTGACAAATTCTATGCTAAAGAGCTCAAACCACACGAGCATCCGCCATTTTGAGAACTGGTAATAAAAGGAAGGAGAGACAGCCCATGTCACGTCAAGGAGCCAGAGTCACGCTGCTCGCTCCCTCACTATCCATCCTTCAGTTCAAACAGTCTTATACTGCCATCAGATGGTTAAAAAAAGGTACTACACGCAAAATAAAATTAACCAACATTTCTTTTTATATTTGACAATAATTACTAATTATTGTCAAATTTCAAACAATATTATCATTTATTGCAATAATTTCTGAGACAATCACCCAGCAGCATTTATTATTATGACTGGCCTACTTCCAGGTTTAACCTAAACTATTTATAATACTATCTTCTCTGTTTTTATGTCAAGTCAAGTCACATTTATTTATATAGCACATTTAAAACAGTAACTGTTATCAAAGTGCTTGTCAATGTGTCAAATAATGTTGTGTGGGTTTGTTTGTGTATGTGTTCTCTCATCTTCTAGGGTCTATAGATGGGTCAGTTCGGTGCTGGGACACAAGATCAAAAAGGTCTGAGCCCATCCAGGTTCTAGATGATGCTCGGGACAGCGTTAGCAGCGTCAAGGTTGCACAACATGAGCTGCTTACTGGGTAACATAGACCTGATTTCTGTCTTGTAAGACAAAACAAAAATCCTTCACAGGCAGGAATTGTATTGATCATCAGTATGTTTGTAACATATCCTTTGGATCCTGCTCAGTTTTATTGTGGCAGTTTAAAATTAAGTTTATCTCCACTTTTTGTTCTTCATTTTATCACCTGTCAGTTAAATATTTTTGTGACAGTTTTTTAAGATGATCTTGTGTTTAGGTCAGTGGACGGCAGAGTGAGGCGCTACGACCTGAGAATGGGACAGCTTCATGTGGACTTCATCAACAGTAAGGAACCTTTTCATTATTCAAAACAATCAAAACAAACAGTTAAATCCATTTTGCAACACCTGTACAAATAGCTGTTGCTGTACTGTTTTTTGTGGTAGCATGCGTAATGCCACAAATGCAGAACATTCTCAATTGTGTGTTTGTCTGTGCATTCCAGGTCCCATTACCTGCGTGTGTTTTAGTCAAGATGGTCAGTGCACCCTGAGCTCCAGTTTAGACTCAGCAGTACGACTTCTTGACAAGAGCACCGGGGAAATGCTGGGAGAGTGAGTGCAAGTTACTTTAAATAGAAGTTCTGTTTTGTGTTCGTTATTGCTTCACACTACAGGAAACAAATGCAACTCGAGAAATTGCATTTCCTGCGAGAATGCAGTGTGAATGCCTGTTCATTAAGAACTTGCTGAAAAACAGCTGAAATTAGATAAAAACTTGCTGAATTGTACAAACCGGATTCCAAAAAAGTTGGGACACTAAACAAATTGTGAATAAAAACTGAATGCAACGATGTGGAGATGGCAAATGTCAATATTTTATTTGTAATATAACATAGATGACAGATCAAAAGTTTAATATATATATATATATATATATGTATGTGAGTAAATGTAACATTTTAAAGGAGAAATATGTCGATTCAAAATTTCACAGTGTCAACAAATCCCAAAAAAGTTGGGACAAGTAGCAATAAGTGGCTGGAAAAAAGAAATTGAGCATATAACGAACAGCTGGAAGACCAATTAACACTAATTAGGTCAATCGACAACATGAGTGGGTATAAAAAGAGCTTCTCAGAGTGTCAGTGTCTCTCAGAAGCCAAGATGGTAAGAGGATCACCAATTCCACCATTGTTGCACAGAAAGATAGTGCAGCAATACCAGAATGGTGTTACCCAGCATAAAATAGCAAAGACTTTTAAGTTATCATCATCAACCGTGCATAACATCATCAAAAGATTCAGAGAACCTGGAGCAATCGCTGTGCGTAAGGGTCAAGGCCATAAAACTCTACTGGATGCTCGTGATCTCCGGGCCCTTAAACGTCACTGCACCTCAAACAGGAATGCCACTGTCAAAGAAATAACAGAATGGGCTCAGGAATACTTCCAGAAAGCATTGTCAGTGAGCACAATCCACCGTGCCATCCGCCGTTGCCAGCTGAAACTCTACAGTGTAAAGAGGAAGCCATTTCTAAGCAAGCTCCACAAGCTCAGACGTTTGCACTGGACCAGGGGGCGTTTAAAATGGAGTGTGGCAAAATGGAAGACTGTTCTGTGATCAGATGAGTCATGATTCGAAGTTCTTTATGGAACACTGGGACGCCATGTCATCCGGACCAGAGAGAACAAGGATAGCCCAAGTTGTTATCAACGCTCCGTTCAGAAGCCTGCATCACTGATGGTATGGGGTTGCATGAGCGCTTGTGGCATAGGCAGCTTGCATGGCTGGAAAGGCACCATTAATGCAGAGAACTATGTTCTGGTTCTAGAACAACATATGCTCCCATCTAGACATCATCTCTTTCAGGGAAGATCCAGCATTTTTCAACACAATAATGCCAGACCACATTCTGCAGCAATCACAACATCATGGCTACGTAGGAGAAGGATCCGGGTACTGAAATGGCCAGCCTGCAGTCCAGATCTTTCACCTATAGAGAACATTTGGCGCATCATAAAGAGGAAGGTGCGACAAAGAAGGCCCAAGACGATTGAACAGTTAGAGGCCTGTATTAGACATGAATGGGAGAGCATTCCTATTTCTAAACTTGAGAAACTGGTCTCCTCTGTCCCCAGACGTCTGTTGAGTGTTGTAAGAAGAAGGGGGGATGCCACACAGTGGTAAAAATGGACTTGTCCCAACTTTTTTGGGATTTGTTGATGCCATGAAATTTTGAAACGACAGATTTTCCCTTTAAAATGATACATTCTCTCAGTTTAAACTTTTGATCTGTGATTTGTGTTCTATTCTGAATAAAATATTAGATGTTGGCACCTCCACATCATTGCATTCAGTTTTTAGTCACAATTTGTTTAGTGTCCCAACTTTTTTGGAATCTGGTTTGTAGCTGAAATGGAAGAACAAGCCTAAATGAGCAGAAAAAAGCAAAAAGAACACATTTGCTAATTAGGTTGAAAGAAGCAGAAATGAGCCCAAAAATTAGGAAATTAACTAAAAAAAAAGGCTAAAATTAACAAAAAATAGCTGAAAAGTAGCTGACAATGCAAAAAGAAGCTTAAACTACCAGAAGAAAGTGAAAGAACTGAAATTAGCAACAACAACAAAAGTGGAATTAGCTGAAAAAGCTAAAATTAGAATCAAAACAGCTAAATGGTAGCTGACAATAGCCAAAAAAGCTGAAATTAGCATAAAGAAGTTAATTAGGCTGAAAGTAGAAGAAATGTTTCATTCATTCATTCAACCTTTATTTATACAGGTTAATCCCATTGAGCCTCAGGGACTCATTTACAAGAGAGACCTGTTTAACATGTAAAACTTGAATTTATCTGAAAACAGCTGAATTTAGCTTAAAAAAAGCTGAAAAGGTAGAACAAGCTTAAATTAGCAGAAGAAAGCAGAAAGAACATGTTTTCCCAATTAGGCTGAAAGAAGCAGAAATTAGCACAAAAAGTGGAAATTACTGATTAAGTATCTGAAAAAAGCTAAAATGAGCAAAAAATAAAAACAGATGAAAAGTAGCTAAAACAGCAGAAAGAAGCTTAAATGACCAGAAGTGGAGAGAGCTTATTTTTGCTGAATTAGACTGAAAAAAGTTTAAACGAATGCAAAAAATGTGGAATTAGCCGAAAAAGCTAAAATTAACGTAAAGCAGCTAAATAGTAGCTGAAAAAGCTGAAACTTGCAGAAATAAGCTGAAAGGAGCATAACAAGCTGAAATGAGCACAAAGAAGTTAGAAGAAGCACAAAAATGTTGTAGCTAGCAGAAAGAATCTAAAAGGGTCACAAAACAATTGAAATTAGCTGAAAATAGCTGGAAAAAAGTTTAAATTTGCACAATGAAGCTGAAAGAAGCTGAACCTGAACAAAATATGAAAGGAGCAGTAAAAGGTTGTTAACGGATCTAAAGATTTGAAGGATGTAAAATGAGCTCAATTCATTTTCTATGAGAAAAAAAAAATGACAGAAAAGGCTAAATATTTCAATAAGCTAAAGGTGCACCGATACTAAAAGTCATAGCATCCTTCTCCTGAAAGAGCTGAAAGTTTTGATTTATGATTTGTTGAAATAGCACAAAAAGTGTGGAACGAGAAAGATGCAGAAAAACGAACAAAAGAAAAATGGAATACAAAAGAGTGAGTGCTTCATAAACATTCACACAAAAAGACTTTGCTGTGCCGCGTGACGTTCCGTAGTATAAAACTATTGTAAAATATAAAACAGAGTTGTGTTACTGTAGCTTTACTTACTGATGGATTCACACACCCTAAAGTTTTATTCTTTGTTCAGCTGTTGTCTACACAACTTTTCTACGTAGACAAGTGGTGTGTATTTGAACAGCTCGTGTGATTTGATTAATTCAAAGCATTTCATAGTAGAGTGACCGCAGCACGTGCAAGCTTTAAAGGCTTCTAACGATGCACTGATCAGTATATTCAGACAAAATGGGAAAAAGTTGATTGTATTTAATTGACAAGTTGTTGTTTTTTTTTCCATACGTGTGTGTAGGTATACAGGACACAAGATGAAGGGCTACAAACTTGACTGTTGCCTCTCCAGTAAAGACACACACGTCTTGAGCTGCTCAGAAGATGGACAGGTTTATTGCTGGGACCTTGTGGAGGTATTTTCTCTTTAAACAGAAACCTCCACAGTTTTTTTTTTTTTTTTTTGACATACTACAGTAAATTTGAATTGTACTTCATTCGACAAATGTCTCTCTTTTTTCCAGGGGTCTTTGACCTTAAAGCTGCCAGTGGGGAAGGGGGTTGTCCAGTCATTGTCCTTCCACCCCACAGAGACCTGCCTCCTCACAGCCATGGAGGGACGAGTTCAGGTGTGGGGGACAGAGCCTGAGGCGGCACAGGACGATGCTATGACCTAATAGCAACATTTGGAGTTAGACAAGTGGGATAATCCCAACTTGATCAAACTAATGTGTTTCATGGGAGCTTGAAACGGTCTTGCTGTTATATTCAAGTTCACTGTAAATATGGGACTACTGAAGGTTTGTTTCTGGAGATAGAAGATTAAAAAAGCTAAAGCATTTCCTGAAGACTCTTAATTCTGCTTAACACAGCATGTTAGAAAACATGTGGTTTTAGTAAAAAGGTCACAACCCTGAGCTTTTGAACTATTTTTGCAAGAAAACTTAAACACAATCCAATACCGAACAGTGTTTACTTCATAAATGCAAAAAAAAAAGAAAAAAGTATTAAACAAAAGATACAAAAGGCTCAGGTTGTACCTTTGAAGGTCAATGGCCAAAACTGTTTGATCAAAAATGATCTAGTCCAGATTAGAGCTATATTTTGTATGTCACTCAGCCTTTATGGGTTTTGTTATACAAAGATTTAGTTATTTAGAGACTAAAGCAAATTCTTAACATACTAATATAATCAATATAAAGACCAGAATAAAAGTGCTTTGGTTAACAGGTTAAGAGTTCACAATCTGGGTTTGAATTTAAAATCAATTCATTAACTAGTCTTTTTTATATATATATAAAATTTAAAAAGGTGTTTATTCAAAAGCATGCTTTCATTTTGATACAAGCAATAAATCCACTGTAAATCAAACCACGTATGTTTTGTACTTTAATAAAATTCTCAACAAGACACGATCAGTACCTTTTAGAAGTTTATTCTCATCATGAACATAGAAAATGCAAATTTTGCAAAATAAGTTAATCAGTGAGAGGGAAAAAAAAAAAGAAATATTAAATAAATAAATAACTCATACATAAATACATTTTAGATTGCTGAATCATTAAATGTCTCTGTTGTAAAAAAAAAAAAAAACTTAATCAGCATTTGTCAAACCTAAACAATGGATCTGCACGTATTTATCAGCTGTATGTCAAATTGCATGAATGGTTTTAAATAAATACATAATTTGCGCAAATTTTTCATTCAACTACTCTTGTTAGAACATCAACATTTAGAGCAAAATCAACTGAGAGTTCATTTGTGGAAAAAAAAAAAAGGTTTTTTTTTTTGTTTGTTTTTTCGAATTTCCCAATGAATATTACTAAAAGCTTGTTTTAATACTCCAGCAGTTACTGTTTAAGATGAACAGCAGAAACAGCATAGTGATTTTTTTTTCTTACCCAAACATGGCAAAGAAAATGGCCTTTTTTTTTTTTTTTTGACATTAGTAAATTTGACAAAAATTAGTTTTTCTTCATCATAATCTTTTACACCTGCACCCCTTCACCTCCCCACGTTTATCCATCCACGCTCAGCCCACACAGCCACAACCTGCAGCTGATAGCTTCTCCACTTTATGCCAGCGGTGTGCATTATCCAGGAAGGCTATGTCCTCGTGGTGGGTGGGCCGGCAGCAGGGTGCACTGTGCCGCAGCTCTCCGGGTGCCGGGTGGGGCAGCATTCCACTGAGCTGCAAACTGGTGAGTGTCAGGTCATGGTTGGAGCGGGCGTGGGGACACGTCCCGCTGCAGTACTTGAATAAGACGGTCTCGTCTGAGTCGTAGCCTAAGCCCAGGTCTCGAACCTGCAACAGGATGGACCGCAGGCCACAGTGAGATTCAGGAGGCGAGCGTCGACTCCTAACTGGGATTTGAATGATGGAAGCAGTGGGCGTCCCGACTACTGTTTCTGTTTTGTCTTCTTCAGATAAATATCTGCTTCCTTTGTCCTCATCTGCAGGCGAGAGTGTTTCCTGTTTCTGACCTGCAAAAGAGGAAGTTATTTACACATCTCACAAATAAAATAACATATTTACATCCTTGAAGCAGCAGGTCATGACCTCATCACTTAATGTTACTTACTAATCAGTGATTTAAGCCAGTGGCCGTCTCCCTTCTGGATGCAGAAAAGAATCACAGCAACTTTCAACAAAGACTTCATGGCTGAGAGTCTGCTCTTTGTCTTTCTATCCCGTAAAATCACCCAGACACGTTTGTGTGTATACGCTGCAGGTGCGAGTGATGCTTAAGATGCAGACGAGTCACAACCTCCAATATATAGCCCTCTGAGATGAAGAGGGGGTGAGGGGGGAGACAGACACTACCCAGTGCTTGCCAACTGACTATCCCACTCACCTGAGGCTGACGGCAAGTGGAGGAGGGCAGGCGAGCGCTTGACCCAGAATCTGTCCTGTTGGGATGATCTAATTGATGTAAATCACTGCTTTATTGGGGAGTTTCCTACAGATGTTTTTTTTTTTTTTCTTTTTTTTTTTTTTTTCCAGAGGAAGCAATATGGTTTTCACAAGGCTTGGATTTCTCAAAGCTGATAAAAGTGTGGACAGTGAGCATGTCTGATAAATGAATCAGCACATGCAGCTCGAATATCAGACGTGCACACTCATGAAGAGAACTAAAAATTCAGACAGAAAATGATTCATAAGGCTAAAGTTAAAAGCAGTGTGGTAAAGTGGTACTCATAGTGGTATGAACACAGATGTTCTATTATAAGAAACCCAAAGTTCAACACGGCTCAAATTTAAACGCAGATTGAGACGGGTTTTCCAAAAACAGAGTTATTCAATGTGTGGCTGACTTGTAGAATAAAAAATATTCATTAGGTAACAATATAATGCCCAAATACTGTAATTTCTGGACTATTGAGCGCACCTGAATATAAGCTGCGCCCACCAAATATAAAAAAAATATGTAAAAAACTTGTGCATATATAGGCCGTGCTTGTGTATAAGTTGCGGGTGTCCACGTTGTAACGAGATATTTACATGGATTTTTTTTTACTTTTAATTAAATACATACTGGTAACTTCAAAAAGCGTTCAATACAAAAACAACTGGACTTTATTTGTAACAGAAGACGTTTCGCTCCTCATCCGAGGAGCTTTCTCAATTCAAG